AGTATTATGAAATCAGGACAGAATGAAAGGAGAAAACAGGATTAAACAATAGATGAATATAAGTGGGATAGTAAGAACTCAATGAGCTACCTATGAAAGCTATGAAATTTTTACACTGTCAGAGTGATATGAACCAGATTCCAACAAATACTCAAAGTTAGCTTCAGTCATTTTTCCAAATGCATTAAAATGTACATTTCTAACCAGCTTCTTGATTTGGCATTCTTAACGAAGCTCTCCCACTTACTTCAGTCTGCATCCTTCTGGCTTCTGATATTTTTTCCAGAAATACATTAAACAAAAGAATTGCACTTATAACCATAGAACATCTAAGTGTAGCTCCTTGGCATTCTTTTTTTTTTTTTTTTTTTTTTTTTGTGGAGAAGTTTGAAAACATTTATATTTCTTTACTACTTTTTCATTAAATGTGCTCAGAGGCTTCTGAGCAATGGTTACATCTAATAAAAATTTGAGAGCAGTGGTATATGTTAGTCAAGAATAGTGGATATCCCAAGACCACAGGATGCTTATTAGAGTTTTATAACAGAGTGGTTATTAATTAAACTTGGCAATAGAAAGGACATGAAGGGGCAGGGAGAGGGGAAGTAGTCCAAGTGGTGAATTCACAGACTATATTAATAAATGAAAAACAATAAGATAAATCAGTGTTAGACAAGGAGAAAACATTGGCTTTGAAATGAAGTTTAACTTATTGAGGTCTCTGAGTGAGATTCTCTGGAGTAGTACCTATTTGAGTGGCTGTTTGCTTTCTGGCTGTGCAATTGAGTGATCAAAGGGCTGACTTCTGACCCAAGATGGGCTAAAATGTTACTTACCCTTTAGAACATTAAACTTGAACTGCAAGAAAGAGAGAAGTTGCTGGGCTTAAACCTGGTAACTGTGGTGTTCTAGAGGGAAGATCAAGGAATTTCTACAGTCATAATCCTGGAAGATATCCTTATTCCTGCCTTCCTTTGATTTTGGATTTCAGCTCGATCTTAGATTGCATGAACTAGTTCAGTATTTTTCCAACAGATGTCTATGTGCTTAAGTTAGCTAGAATTTGCTTTTGGGTTGCTTGCAAGCAAAAAAGAAAAAAAAATTGTATGACGTTTTGAGGTCAATTTCATCTTCATTTTGATTCTCATTCAATCAAAAATGCCAGATATTTTGTTAGGAAGAGGCATAGAGTGGTGAATAAGATGAACATGAGTTTTATTTCATGAAGCTTTCAGTCTAGCAGAGAAAACAGACACTGATAAAGTAATTAAAGTATAGAAATGGAAGGGTTTTATTTATCCATCAACAGACGTTTGTTAAGCACCTATTTACTAAGCACCTATAATATTTAAGGCACTGTTCTAGACTGTTGGTACATTGGTAAAGAAGACAAAGACCCTTCCCTTGCATCTCTTAGCAGGGGATGAACTCAATAAGCAGTAAACATCGAAATATATAAATAAATAACGTGGATTTCAAAGATGGTTAAGTGCTATGGGAAAAGACATTAGAAAGGAAATTGGAAAGAATGGTATATCAAAAGGCCGGGAGGCCAGAGACAAATGTCAGGTTGGAGAAACGGAGATTATTAGAGCTAAAATAGTGACAACAGGGCAGTGGCTCAAAATGATGATGAAGAGGTTAGCCAAAGTCCATTGTTAAGGACGTTATAAGCTATTTTGAGGATTTTGGACTCATCCTAAGACAATCCAAAGCCACTTAAGAGTTAAGCTATAGACTGACATGATCAGATTTGCATTTTAGATTTATCATTCTGCCTGCAACCTGGAAAACACATCAAAAGCAAACAGTAGTGGATGGGAGAGAATATTTAGGAAGCTCTTGTCCTAGTCCAAGTGAGAAATGGTGATGCTTTTGACTAGCATATGTTCCATGAATTGGAAAACAGTAGCTGTGTTAAAATGGCTGTTATGGAGGCTTAGACTTTCTGCTTCTCATATTTAGAACAAATTAATGCCTGTCCAGATTTATCTTCTGTTCTCTGGGCTTTGATGCTATATAAAGCCAATCTGAAATGTTGACCACTTTTTCTTTGGCTTCATATCCATGAAGTTTAATTATGCCTCATCTTTAGGAACAAAAATATGATAAGTGGATATTTAAGGAGCCATGGCAGCCATAAGACAGGCATTCATTCTACTCCCTTGTATCTGCACCTAACTAGCCACGTATCGTCATTCTCGAATTCTGAGAGAACCAGTACAGGATAGAAGCAAACCAGGTCTATGCATCTCCTTTATTAAAAGGGCCTTCCCCCTAAATTCTCGTGTTCTTTTCCGCCCCAGTGAGATAGTGTAGATGATGTAGGAGAAAACCACTTGTTCTATTTACCACCCCACCATTGGGTTTAGATGGGGGTTACCTTCCTATAAACAATGGGTCATTTGACCCTCATAATTTGTTGTGACATCTTGTTACACTCACGTAGTATTTTTTAAAGACAATGAAACTAAGTAACCACTATGCTTGCTTGCTGCACTTAAGAAGACTGGTTCAACACTGAACCAGCATCATGGGTGTATGTGAAAGTTATGCCCCTTTGTAATTATTTCAATTTTTAATTTTCAGCTCATATACTAATCCCAGACTAAATTTTGGTCAGACATTTCTTCGTTCCTTTGCGCTGTGTCTAGCTCAGGCTCTTTCAGTCTCAAATATGTAGACAGAAATTATATCCAGCCTTCAACTCCCTTGCTTACCAGTCCCAAATATAAGAGCAAAAAGAAAGAGAGACTTCTCAATTTCCTTATCATCCCTCCAAAAATTTCCCCTCTCATTCCTGAGAAGAGTACCAAGTCCCACTTTTTACCATACTGGAACATGGTTCCCTGTGGTCCAATTGAATGACCTTGGTTCTTGAGAAATCTGCCTTTCCTAAGGAAGCTGGGAGAGATGGGATGGAGAAATGCAGCTAAAGGATATTGTTTTTAACTGTTCCCACTGCAGTACCTTATTATAAAAATGTACTTTTTAAACATGGGTTTCTATCTTGTATTACTTTGTGTCTTGGAGTCTCTCCCTCATAAATTACTTTGCATCTTGTTTGAAGTGAACCATTTTAAAATTTATATCCTGTCCTACTTTTATTTCAAGAACTTTACTTAAAATATCTTTTTTTCTCTTGCCCTGCTCAGATATGCATGAACATTTTATGCATTTCACACTCTTTAAGATAGAGAAAATAATATGCTAATTTGAATAGTGGTAAAATCAGAGTCGGAATAGAGATTTTATTCTCAGGGAGTGGACAGTGCAATACCTTCTTATGACTATCAGTTATCTCCATCGTTAATATAAGTCATGTAAAAGACATGGATTAGTCAAACAAGACCGTAGAAGACGAATGTGGGAGTCCTCTCAGTTGGATGGAGGCAGCATGGTGAATGTTTGCTCCTCGAGGGCACGTAACGTGTCCTACTCCCTTTCTATCACCTATTCCACCGAAGGAGTCAAGCATCTACATACCAGTTACTCAACATGAAGTTAGATGTGCAAATGGAAATAAATGATAAATACTTATGAGACATCTAGTACTGTACTTAATTTTACTAGAAATCACACAAGGGATGGTGAAAGAAGAGGTTTTGACTAGGTTTTGAGTACTGGGTTATGTCCCTCTAGGGTGGGTATGCTGACACCCCCAGTGAAGGAAAAACCCAGGAAGGGAGCTGCTGGAGAGCGGACTAGAAATCGGACAAATGGTCCTCCGATTTGAGTGCATAGGCACTGAGGCATGGCCTCCTGGGAGTTTCTGATCCAACAGATCTGAAGTGGGGCCCAAGAATTTGCCTTTCTCACAGTTTCCCTCCCAGGTAATGCTGATGCTGCTAACCCAAGTAGCCCACTTAAGAAACCACAGAATGAGATCTTGGAGAGCTGGCTCAGCTGGAGGGACCTGGACAGGCTGTTGCTCTGTGATCTGCACAGAGGGGATGGGAGGGATTTCAGATGTGTCTCAGGGCGGTATCTAGAATAGTTTTAAGTCTTGCTTCCTCTCAGTCAATAGGACTGGTGGCTACACTCTGGCAGGAAAAGGAGAGGTTTCACGAACTCAAATGAGAGTTAAAATCAGCAAACGTAAATAAGATGGAAGAAGGGATATGTGGAATCAACTTAGTAATACTTTCAGGGAATTTAACCTAATTTGGCAATGTAAAACCATGTACATGTATATCTAAGCTAATTTTTATATAGGTTTTTCCCTGAAATATCCTTACACTGCAAGGAAAGTTTATGCTCTTTAGCTGACTGTGCATACATCAAGGTAAATGGGGAAGGTGGAAAAAGGGCAGCCCAAGGAGAGAGGAAAGCCCATTCATCCTAGAGAAAGCATTTAGGAGAAACCACTCCCATCCTCCCCCCGCCCACCCCTTCCCACTCAGCAGGGTCTCTCAGGTAAATAGCCTTAGGAAGTTCTTGCAACAATGGCAAGGGCTTCAGTATCCCGGCGTCGTCCTGGGAACACCTCTCATCTTACTTCAGTATTAAAATGGAAACTACCTAAAATTTAGAACCAATTTCACAGGCTTTGTTGTATTCAGCTAATTAGGTTCTTGCATTTTAAAACTCGACTCTGAAGTTTTTGCCTACTTATCTGTGTTTCTTCCAGATGAATTTTGTATAAGGCAGGAATCATTTAGGACTCTGGGGGACGTTGGCATTTTCTTCATTACACAACTTCATGGACTCAGGTGGATTTTCTCAATTTGCCAACAAAAAGAATAGAGATAGTACATTAAAATGAACTGTGTGTTTAACAAAATGATAGAATTTGGTAACCAAATGGGCAGTTGCTCATATTTAATTTAATTCTTATTAATTTGAAAATATTAAAAAAAAATAAAACTGCTTAGTGATCCTTTCAAGGAAAGGCTCAGCTCATGTTTTTAAAAAAACACAGAAAAATGACTCTGGAGACCTTGGCTACACATCTCGCGGTCAGATATTTCAATGCTTTGTTGCTCTCATTCCTGTTACAGGTACATGTGACAGTGTTGCAGCTATGAGTGGAATTTTAAAGAGGAAGTTTGAAGAAGTTGACGGCTCATCACCCTGCTCCTCTGTGCGGGAATCAGACGATGACGTTTCCAGCAGTGAAAGTGCTGACAGTGGGGACAGTGTCAATCCGTCCACTTCTAATCATTTTCCCCGTGAGTACAGAAACCATACCTGAAGCTGCTTGTCTGATTCTGCAGTGAAAATAATTGTATCATCTTGGGCCCTTTTTTTAAACCCTTATTATTAGTTTTGTTTTGTTTTTGTAATTGATCTGAAAACAAAACAGGGTTAATTAAAATTAAGTCTCTTTGAGGTAGCGGTAGATTTTTGTATTTGGATTGCTTTCGGCAGTGGATTATTTGGTAGTGTTAATCAACTGACTCAGTGAAAACAAGAGTATTTTATTGTTATTAATTTTAATAAGCACCCTCCTGAGAGTAGATGGGGAAAGACAAGTCCAGGCACAAAAATGCATCCTCCCATAGCTGAAATGGTATTCTGGGTTGGTAGAGGAAAAAATGGATGTATTTGGGAGTGGAAGGTCTAGGATATGATGAGAAAGAGCTCTCCAGCCATGCGTGAAGAGATGAGAAGCCTGCAAAACTCTCCCAGATGTGCAAGTGCATTGCAGTTTATACTTCTTTCCACTCATTCTTTTATCCCATCCCTAAGGAAAATATCTAAAGCCCACAAGGAAAAAATAAAGAGATGTATGTCTTCTCCTGGATTCCTTTTTCTGCCGCACTGTAGCATTAGTGCTCCCTGTCATGAAAGGTATTGTGAAGATTGCAGGACTGATGAGAAAGAATTCATAAAGTGATACAATCTATAAGCTAAAAGAAACTGACTAGTAATAGCTAAAAAAGTCTTCTTAAGTTTATGTTTCCAACAGGAAGATTTTACTATATCATGATACCACGGTAGAGAACTAGTCTTAGTTTTTCCATTTTTCAATTCAGTGGCTGGTTTTATTAATATATGATTCTAGAACATAGAATTTATTTCAGAAATGTGACAACTCGGAAAACCGAAAGAATTAATAATAGTTTTAAGAGGGTATTAAGGAGCTCAATAAAACAGTTGAGTATGAACCAAACACTAAAATCAAAAGCATTGCTTAAAACAGGCAAAACTAGGGGCACCTGGGTGGCTCAGTTGTTAAGCATCTGCCTTCGGCTCAGGTCATGATCCCAGGGTTCTGGGATTGAGCCCCACATTGGGCTCCCTATTCAGCAGGAAGCCTGCTTCTCCCTCTCCCACTCTCCTTACTTGTATTCTCTCTCTTGCTGTCTCTCTCTCTCTGTCAAATAAATAAATAAAATATTAAAAAAAAATAACAAACAGGCAAAACTAATATAAAATATAATGAAGGGGCAATTAAATGATCATAACAGATTAAAAAACCATAAAATATTCAGGGACAAGGTTATTGTGTAATGTTGGAGATATACAAATACATTTACCTATGTCATGATGATATGAGATGAGCTTGTGTTTTTTATTTAAAAGGAGATACATGTATACCTATTTGATCTTAGTATTAATAGTGATCATAGCAACAACATGATCATCTGGTGGAGTTTTTGACAATCAACAGCACAAGTGAGATAATATACATGAAAGAACTTGGTAAAATATTAAGTACTAAGCACATGTTATATTGGAAATTATGATCATAGCTAACATTTCTTGGATACACAAATGCACCAATAGCTTTGTATGCATTTTCCCTACTCTGTGTCAATTCTGAAAATACTACTACCTTCAGTTTAAGAGGAAATATCTGAGGCTCAGAGACCAAGCATCTTGCCCAAGATCACACATGATTGGAGCCTGGTACATGTGTGTATGTGCGTATCTCACCCCATAGTCTGTTTTTTCCGTTACCTCATGCTGCCTCTTAATTGTATAATATTGGACATATCTTTAAAATGTTGTTCATTGAGAATTACAAAAGAATTAGGTGAATTAGTAAAGAGATAAGTTATGTTTCTGGATTTAAAGATAAACAAAGTTATCAAAGCCTTCCACATTAATTTATATATATGAGTATAATGTTAATAAAATCCTCAAATGCATTTTCTTAAAAGGAGATAGAATGATAAAAATCTGTTTGGGAAAATAATGAGAATAAAGGTATATTTTTAAAAAGAAACTCTAAATGTTGAAAAGCCGTTACAGATCTCAAGTCATAATATAAAATTATATAATTTCTTTTTTGATACTCTGCTAGATCTAGGAAAGTATAGAAAAATCTCAACATGTTACATATAAGGTTTAATGTATAAGAATAGAGCATTATGGAGCAATGGCAAAGGGAAGAAATATTTAATAAATTGTTGGGGTGTTAGAGTTTGAAAAAAAAGTCATTTAGATACTCATCCACAATACATTCCAGATGGATTAAATAGATAATTTTTTAAAAATCCAATTATGGGGATATTGCTTATTTATCAGACATTGGTAGGATCATTACCTGAGCTTGGCAGAAAAAAAAAAAAGTCACATTGCAAAATACTTACAATAAATATATTATTTATTATATTTAATTTAATAAAAAATACATGTAAATTTTTTTGAAACCCCCAAAGGCAATCAACACTATAGGAAATATGATTAGTAAACATTGGAAAGCATTTAACAATAGTAATAACAATGCAGATTAAAATAATACTAATGAGATTCCATTAGTATGAAATTACAGAAATTTCATCTCTGTGAAATTAGTACCCCTCTCTCCAGTAGAAACTACTGATACCTAAGTGCTGGTGAAAGTCACAGTATAAATTGTAGGTACATACATTGTGACTGATGGCAGTGAAATTTAGAAAGCCCCGAGTTAATACAAGAGCCATAATAATATTCATATCTATTTGTCTGTACTTCGGATAATTTACCTGAAGGAGGAAACATCAAAAACAAGGGGAAAACTGCATAAGTGAAAATGTTGGTGGTTAACGGTAGTACCAAAGAATGGGGGTTTTAAAAAAATGGGGGTTAGAGGTAGAGAAGAGAAAGATAACATGGCTCAGAGCAGGAAAATGCTCCATTAAGTTATGGTGACTTGTACAATTTACTTTTATGATAGTTATGAGGACCTTATGACAATTATGTAAAGTGCTCATGAGGTAATGTTAAGAAAAATCAAACACCAAATCTTACTTACATTGCCAGGGAAAATCTAGTATTCATAAAGGCAAGGAATGGTATGGCGCCCTGAGCACTGAAAATGATTTGATTTTTTGAGGTTTTAAAAAGATGGATGAATTTTCATATTTATTAATTTAAAACAAACAAGTTTTAAATTTAAACTAAAATGATTACTGTAGTTCAAATTGTGTTTATGTATGTGGACAGCAGATTGAAATGGCGTGATCAGCAAAATCATGCAATTCTGTAGCTAACTAGGAAAAGCTTTTATAAGTTAGAGAAATGACTTTTCCCATTAAAGAAAATAGACCTATGTTATCATGTCCAACAAGTCATCAAAATGGGAGTGCCTGGCTGGCTCACTCAGTAGAGCATGCAATGTTTGATCTTGGGGTTGTGAGTTTGAGCTCCACATTGTGTGTAGAAATTACTTAAAAATAAAATCTTAAAAAAATTAAAATACATAATATAAAAAAGAAGTTATCAGAATGTTTCAACTCATTGTTTATTATCTATGGTAGTTGGCAATATGTTAATTTACTAAATTGCTGACTTAACTATATGAAGTGAAATCTGACAGATTTTTCATAATTTTTAAAGGTAGTTAGATTATTAATTTAATTAAAAAGTGCCCTTTACATTGAATAATAGTCTGCATAGTTCACCATATTTATATTATGGAGAAGAGAGAAAAAGTGGGAGGAAACAGCACAGAATCAAGAGATAAAAATTCTACCTAGAATATTTATTGTATGAAAGGCCTGAGCATGTTAATTAATGTGAGAGGGATAGTTGAAAGGCTTTCTTGTTTCTAGAAATATATTTCAGATTTTTCACCTGTCCAAAAATTTACTATGTGCACGTTTTTAGAAAATGTTTTTTTAAAGTTTTTATTTTTTTATAAACATAATGTATTATTAGCCCTGAGGTACAGGTCTGTGAATCGCCAGGTTTACACACTTCACAGCACTCACCATAGCACATACCCTCCCCAATGTCCATAACCCCACCCCCCTCTCCCTACCCC